GCGGGTACGGGAAAGCTGAATTTGAATGGGCAAGGTTGAGCGTGGGCAGGGGGTCATTACCCTAAATTTTTAGCCTCCTAGACTTCGTGGTGGTTCCCGAGATATTAATTTGCCCGTAAAAAAGCTTTAACGGGGCCATACGTATTACCCGCGGGTACGGGGAAGCTGAATTTAAATTTGCGGGGTGATCCAGCAGAGCCGAGTTGTCTGGAGCCGCTGCACCATCAAAACGGGTGAAGCCGAATCTCGCGCGGGAAATGCCGTTCTAGAGGAATTGCCCCTCGAAATTCCGTATAAGCAAGGCTATTTTCCATTGCACCATGTTGCCCAAGCCGGGGATTATTGGTATTTATTGGTTTTCAGGTACTGGTTGAGACTGGTGGAGCCCGCCAAAATTTTTTGGGCTAAATCGGAAACTAGAAAAGCTGGGAAGCTGAAATTTTGGATCTCGGCCAAAAGTTTTTTGGACCGGCTGCTGTTGCTGCTCGGAACTGCAGCGAGCCGATGGCAGCCCGAACAAAGTGCTGTGGTAGCATTGATGATTCTCGTTGGTCCTGCGCGAAAATCGAGCCGTTCCGCTGCTGTTTTTCCACTGATGGCACTGCTGGTGCTCCAGATGCTGCTGAATCACAAGCAGAAGCAAGAACTGTCCCAGCCGTCCAGGATTCAGGTAAAGTCTCTTTCTCTCAGCAACTCCAGTGGTTTTTTTAAAAGACTTTTCAGGAATTTGGTGAAAAAACTAAAATTTTTAGAAGCAAACTATAAGAAAAGTTAAAATGAGTTGCTCTTTTGTTTTTTTTAATGGTTTTTTGCAGCTATGCAACGCAGAAAACGCATATTGACGAAAGGTTGTCTATGTGTGTGTGTGTGTGTGTCTGTGTCTGTGTGTGTGTCTGTGTCTGTGTCTGTGTGTGTGTCTGTGTGTGTGTGGGCGTGTCTGTGTGCATCTGTACTGATTTTTCATCTCGAGACCTACAAAAGTCACAGGGCTGAAACTTTGGGAACTTAATCTACATGCGGGTACAGGCTCCCAACTCCAAAATGGGCGCTTTTACTCGCTTGATACCCACGTACGAGCCCGCCAAAGTTTCTTCCGTGTAAGTCAGGAGCCAGAAGAACCGGGGAGTTGAAATTTTGACGGGATGTCTCCTACCCAAATACCACATAGTTGCACAATTAACTTCCTGAACTTTGAGGACCATTATGTTACAAATTCTAGCTGCTGAGATTCCAGATGACTGAAGTACCAAAACTATGCCATTCAAAATTAAAACCAAAATATTCCGAGCATATAATCTCTCATTGTTGCAGGACTGCGGTGTACGATTTGCAATTCGTTGATTGGAGTGGATCGCAACGACTTGATAACTCATTATCAGTGTGATTGGCATCGCCATAATTTGCGTCGTATGCTGCAAGGCCGTCCACTGCTAACCGAGGATGAATTCGAGCAAAAAATATCGGATGATGGTAGCTTGCTTTATTGATTTTTTGCTGAAATTGGTGAAAGTTTTATTGATTTTTTTTGCTAAATTTTTTTTTGTTCCAAAACTATTGGCAGCTTGCCAAACTCAACACTGTGCGACAG